AGGGAGAGAGAGGGGGGAGAGAGAGGGAGAGGAGAGAGAGAGAGAGAGAGAGAGAGGGGGGGGAGTTTAAAATGCATTTAATGTACATTTTATTTTATTTTTAATTTCAAATACCCCAAAAAATATGTCCCTTGGACCCCTGTTGGATATACTGTGTGATCTAATTACGGGCTGTAGGGGCAATGGCTCTCTAGTATGTCAGACCCTTTAAAGAGCTATGTAGAAATAAAAGAGCAGAAATGCATATTTTTCTGAACATATTTTGGTGCTTACATAACCAGTCCGCTCTCTAGCCCAGGGGTGCCCATTAGGTAGATGGTGATCTAGCAGTAGCTCTCAAAGCTGATGCTGGTAGATCAGGAAGGGGGGGGGATGGTGGCCCCTCGCTGTGCACACATGATTACCTATTAGCCTGAGTCTGCTGCCAAGCTCCCTGACACCTTTCTGGCGGATACTGGGGGTTGAAGTGCCATGTATTACATCAAAGAATATTCGTTTACACAACTTGTTGCACTACACTGTTTGCAAAATACAGCAAGGTGAGCCAGGAGAGAGAGCGGAGAAAGACAGACAGAGAGAGCAAGGAGAGACAGCCAGGGGAGAGAGCAAGGAGAGACAGCCAGGAAAGAGAGCAAGGAGAGACAGCCAGGGGAGAGAGAGGAGAGACAGCCAGGGGAGAGAGCAAGGAGAGACAGTCAGGAAAGAGAGAGAGGAGAGACATCCAGGGAAGAGAGCAAGGAGAGACAGCCCAGATAGCGAAGAGAGACAGCCAGGAGAGAAAATGAGGAATAAAAGCCAGGAGAGCGAGGAGAGAGAGAGCGAGGGAGTTTTTTTTTTCGTTGGTAGATCTCATGTAGCTCGTCATTTGAAAAGTAGATCTTAACACAAAAAATTGTGGGCACCCCTGCTCTAGCCTCTCATGGACATGATCCTAATGGAAGGTGACACACATACGGATGCCAGCCAGAAGGAGAACATGCTACCCTGAGGTGAAGGACCAAACCTTCTGTAGAAACAGGAACCGCCCAACTCTGAGTGAATTCATTAAACATGAAGTGACGCTGCACAGGAGATTACTATGAGGAAAAAATAACATTCTTAAAGGATATTTATACCTCTGTGCTCAGATAAATAAATAGAAGTTGGTCTTCACACCCGGCTGAGTCAATGTCTCCAATACCAAGAGTCATGAAATGAATCTTCAGATAGAGGCATCCCCGGACTCACTTTTAGGATGCGTTCCCCAATTGACCAATGCCAGCCAGTTATAGCCGGTCTCAGAAGATAAGAATGCCCTTATGCCCTAAAACTCCATGTTTTGGAACACAAATATTCAACATATAATATGAATTAGTTTTACAAATGCCAAACTATAGCTATAGTAGACCGGGCAACTGCAAACGGGCCCAAAAACAGAGGGGCCCTGAGGTGTCTGGACATATAGGGATTTTATGAAAATAGCAATGGCATGCTCATGGTGTTTCAGAGTGTTCACAGGCCAGATTGCGGTCTGTGGTTAGCGATAGAAACATAATTCCCCAGTGTAATCAAGAGTAAAAAATGCCTGTCAATAGGGAGAATAGGGCCCCATCGTTGGTGTCAGTGGGAGGAATAGTGCCCCATCGTTGGTGTCAGTGGGGGGAATAGTGCCCCATCATTGGTGTCAGTGGGAGGAATAGTTCTCCATCATTGGTGTCAGTGGGAGGAGTAGTGTCCCCTCATTGGTGTCAGTGGAGGAATAGTGCCCCATCGTTGGTGTCAGTGTGAGGAATATTATCCTATCGTTGGTGTCAGTGGGAGGAATAGTGCCCCATCATTGGTGTCAGTGGGAGGAATAGTGCCCCATCATTGGTGTCAGTGGGGGGAATAGTGCCCCATCATTGGTGTCAGTGGGAGGAATAGTGCCCCATCATTGGTGTCAGTGGGAGGAGCTATAGTGCCCCATCATTGGTGTCAGTGGGGGGAATAGATCCCTATCATTGGTGTCAGTGGGAGGAATAGTGCCCCATCGTTGGTTCAAGTGGGAGGAATCGTGCCCCATCCAGGGGCGTATCTGCCGCGAGGCAAACAAGGCGCAAACAGTGTGAGTTGTATTTGGACCGAGGGTCCCTCTGCTGCTGCAATACTAGCTGAACAGAATACAAACCTTCAGGCATGTACAACAGTTCACATAGATCATTTCAGGGTTGCCAAACCCGATATGACGATTACAGGAAATGACAAGAAATGCAAAATTCAGCACAGCGAGAAGACCTCACAATGGGCCCGTTGGAACCTTTGATGCGAAGTTCCTTGGATCGGCAGTGAGACGTGTACCTGGACACTGAGTGATTATGGAACCATGATCGATTTTATTACGAAACATTATCACAAACTATACAATAAATTACTATTATAAAATACATAAGATACACAAAATGAGAGGTATATACATGCTTAGATACGGTAAAACGACCTGCCTGGCCACCTACTGGGGACCTACCCAACGTGTTGGGCAAACCATCCATACCCCTTTACGGCAGTGGTTCTTAACCTTTCTAGGGCCGGGACCCCTTGGTAACGTTGGCCAAGTTCTGGTGACCCCCAACCGTAAAATTTAGGGATGCACCAATACCAGTATCTGTGCGGGCTCTCAGGTGGCTAGTGGGACTCTCCGGTGGGACTCTCCGGTGGCATCCAGTGCGGCCTCTCTGGTGCCCAGTGCAGGTTCTGTGGTGATGAAGCATTCACCTCCTGCTGCCTGCTCCCCTCTCTCTGATCCTCCATCTAGGAGAACTGACACTGCTGCGCTGGGAGGAGGCTGAGGAGCCTCTTACCTAGAGCAGCGCAACTGCACAAGGGACGTGGGGACCCCCTCAACTCTGTGTTGTGACCCACTTTTAGGCTGAGAACCACTGCTTTAAGGAGAGCTCAGTTTGGTGGCCAGGAAGGGAAGCGCATGGTGGCTCGGGAAAGCTCCCGGGCTGCAGGCGGCCATTGGGTGGCTACAGAGAGATTGCTATGGTCAAGCTCTGAAAAAATAACATTGTCTCCTTTATTATCTCCAGATTTGTTTTTAATATATCTTTATCCTTTTTTTCCCCCTCTGCTCTTCCTGCCCTTGGGATCATCAAGGGTTCTGACATTCCATATTTCCTGCTGTTAACCACTAGGGTCACTTTTAGACACTTGAGGGAAGCCCAGAGCTGTGTCAAGGAAGGTGTCCCCGCTCTGGTATGCTTTATGTGTGTGTGGTATTTCTCCACAGTGCCTGTAGCTACAAAGAGCTTGTTTCAAAGCGCTGTTTCTGCTGGATTAGAATATATCAATACTTTATTATGCATAGTCCAGGGCACAGGTGGAAATCAGGATTCTGGACAGCTCCAATGGGCAACCGGGTCCTGTTTTTTCCAACAGCCCTTATGGCCGTGTTGGTTGTAGGACTGAAGAAACAAGTTCCCGCCTGAACCTTCATTGGCAATCTAATCCCTTTCCTAGGAACCCCGGGGTATAGAAACATCAGAACCTCTACAAAAGGGGACTGCCACTACACTAGGGGCAGAAAGTGACGTCAGGCACCCTTCAGGGATGCAATGGCAAGCTCGTTGTGGGTGTTCTGCTCTGTTTTCCGCTCTTCCGATCAATCGTTAATGTCTACAGTGAAGGCTCTATTCAGGGTATCCTTTATTGAGTAGCAGGTACACCGGTTCCACCTTCTCCCCACAAGGAAATAAATACAGGGGTTGATTGCACTGTTTACTATCATCCAAAATTCAGTAACAGTGACCATTTTGTGCAGTGTGTTTTTGTCTGCCGTCAGGTTGCAGTATAATAAAAACCGTACAGTGTTTAATGGCAGAACGGATAACGTGAACACAACAGCCGCTACAATGATGATAATGTAGAGTTTCGGCGGGTACCGCTGCCGGAAGGTCCTCTTTATTTTGATGAGCAGGATGAGACTGGAAATGACCATGAGCGGCAGGCAGATCCCAATGGCTAAAACAAAATTAAGCACCCCGATGGGCAAACACTTTCCCGTGTTTTCAGTTCCGCACACAAAATGCTGAAGGAGGCTTTCCAGACTTCCGATGGCCCACGCAAAGCAGCACATGATGGTGGACAAATGCCGGGGGCGACGAACAGTATTCCAAATGGGGAACAGGGCCGAAACACACCTTTCCGTACTGATGGCTGTGAGGAGAAACATTCCAGTGTAGATCATGGCGTAGTACAATATAGTCAAGGATAAAACAAAAGACTGTTTCCCATTAAATTCTGGATTTGGACCATTGAACGTATTGATGTTGACCATCAAAATTATAACAGCGACCGTTTCTAAGAGGGCGTCAGCCGCTGACAGATTGTTAATATAAATGGTATATTTGTTCCTCTGGATCTTGAAGCAAAGGTACCAAAACACGATAAGGTTTCCCACCAAACCAACAACAGAAGCGAACAAAAAAAATGCAAATACGATTGTCCTCTGACCTGAGTCAAGATCATTAGAACCTTGTTTCCAGGTAAGATTTTGGCTGCTGGCGTCTAACCTCGTGATATCCATGTTTGTTCCTCGTTATCGGTGACCTCATCAAAGCGTCGCGTTATCTTTTTCTTCCACCTGCGACAAATGCAACACATGATTACCATAAGGCAGAATTATTTCCTTCCATTACTAATATACACTGAGTGGCCGGATTATTATATACACCGAGTGGCCGGATTATTATATACACCGAGTGGCCGGATTATTATATACACTGAGTGGCCGGATTATTATATACACTGAGTGGCCGGATTATTATATACTCTGAGTGGCCGGATTATTATATACTCTGAGTGGCCGGATTATTATATACACCGAGTGGCCAGATTATTATATACACTGAGTGGCCGGATTTCCGAGTGGCCGGATTATTATATACACCGAGTGGCCGGATTATTATATACACCGAGTGGCCGGATTATTATATACACTGAGTGGCCGGATTATTATATACACCGAGTGGCCAGATTATTATATACACTGAGTGGCCGGATTATTATATACACCGAGTGGCCGGATTATTATGACCACCTGATGTTTATAGCAAATGAGCTATAATTTGGCGCTGAAGTTGCTGGAGGCCCAGACCATTATAAATAGGGAAGCGGGTTGGTTACCACGACAGTAGAAGTGATTGGGAAGATTCGGGGAAACAACGCGATGTAACAGCCTCTGAACGCGGGATGATTGTTGGCGCTCGGAGCCATGGAGCGAGTATCAGCAAAACAGCAGAATTCGTTACATGTTCAGGAGCGGCTCATTGTTAAAGTGTTTAAAGACCGGACTGTCAGCCGAAAATCTGGGTCTGAACGTGCGAATTGTGGCCGTCAGCGACTAGTCAATGTTAGGGCAGAACGGGGGAGGGGCGAGACTCATACAAGACAACAGAAGGGCCACAGTGCCGTGTCAGATTCCTCGCATCGCCTTTCATCATCTTGTGGAGTCACCAGGCAACCCAACGAAGTACTGATGGGGGAGGGGGGGTCATATTATTATGGCCACTCACTGAAGATATAAGTTTAAAATTGCAAAACACATTGCCATTTGCATTTTGTTTTTGTTTTGTTGAACCCCCCCCCCCCCCCCCCCCCCGGCCTCCCGCCAGGCCGCGGGGA